TCCTCACCACGGACCTTGCCACACGCGATCTCATTCTCACATACGCTCCACCAAATACCCCTTCCGAATCGTTCAAGTATCTCGGACGAGCCCGCTCGATCAACGGGATTTATGTCCTGGACTTCGACGTACCTCCCTGCCAAGCGTCATCAGACGAGCTCGTGGACCTTGTTCCTCTTGAGTTCGCCTTCACGAACAAGGAATCCTGGGAGCATCCGGACGGACGACCATGGGTTCGCCACAGTCCACATCCCCGCGAAATCAATCTGCACGAACCAGACATCAACGGTCTCTGCACCACCTGCCACACGCCCACCGCGAGTCGCACGGAGCAATTCGAAAGAGAGCAAGCGGCAATTCAAGAAGCAGAGAGCGCCGAGGCGGAACCTACCGGCATGACCAGAGAAGAACTTGCTGTTTCATCTTACCGCGTCTTCGGCGAAGCAGACAAGGCCTATGAGCTAGAGCGAACGGAAAGGGCAACGCCCTATTCGGACAACCTCCAGTTCGTCCTAGAGGCCAACGCCACCACCCTCGACAAGGAAGGACGACCGCGTCCCTACACCTGCGAAGTTTACCGCCATCACATCGACCCTGCTTGGAAAGACCCTGACGAACTAGAAGAGCTGAGCGTCAACGAAGAACAAGATAAGGCCCGGGCGGAAAAGAAACAGAAGCTGTTTGAGGAACGTGTCGCGGCTGGATGGGACAAGGAGTTAGCACGACGAGGCGCATGGGGAGATGAGGATTACGAACCAGAAGAAGGCGATGGAGCAACCTGGGGATCCGCCACTGGAGCATGGGGAGCTAGCGCCAGCGGCGCAGTCACAACAGGAGGATGGGGTAACACCGGCGGATGGGGAGAAGACGAATACGCGGATGCTCCGCTCACCAAAGAAGAAGAAGAAGAGATCGAACGAGAGATGAAAGCTGAGCGTGGAGTACCATCCCCTCGTGTCGCCATTCCACTCGGACGACCCCCTCGCACTCGCTCACCTCCATCCTCCCCCCATCGGTGGCGCGATCGTTGGTCGGAGATTGAGGAGGGGAACGTACCGCCAACTCCTCCGCGGGACTCACTTGGTCCAATCTCTCGCCCAGATCCGTTTGCTCGCCTCATCGAAGGCACCACGACCCCGCTCACCATCATCCCCGACTGTGAATTCCTCGCGCTCTATCTCACAACGGCACCTGCAGAAGGGGAGGCAACGGCAGAAGCAGAAGCAGAGGAGCCGGCCAGCGAAGCAGAACCAGGAGAAGAGGAAGAACCCCCACTCCAAATCCCGCAACTCACGGCGGAGGAGGCAGCAGAGCATCACACTCGTTACAAGCGCACTTCCGGCATCCGCGCCGAAGACGATCTCTGGCACCAGCGGATGGGACACCCCTCGCGCCAGACTCTCGCCAACTGCCTCCGCGCCAAGTTTTTCCCGCCAGGAGCACTGCTGCGCCCCGACGGAACGGAGTTACAGCACACCACCTCCCATCCAACCACTTGCACTGTCTGTCCTACAGCTGCACTCTCCCACACCGCCTATCCCTCTCTGGAGCCGAGTACCAACCGCTACAAAAAGCTGGAGAAAGTTTACAGCGACTTCATCGTACTCACCTGCGACGGCATCAACGGAGAGAAGTACACTCTCACCTTCATCGATGCCTACTCACGCCACGTGTGGATCGCCAACGTTGACGCCCGTTCCAAGGCTCCGGAGGTGTTCCGCATCTTCCTCGCGCATGCGCAGCGACAGTCGGGGAGGAAACTGAAAATCTGGCAGAGTAATGGGGCAAAGGAATTTCGCAGCAATGAGCTGGAGAGCGTCCTCACCGAGAAGGGGATTAAGCATGAGATTTCTCTCCCCTATGCTCATCAGTAGCAAGGCGTCACCGAGAGGGTCAATCGCACGCTCATGACCAAAGTCCGCGCTATCATGAATCAGTCCGGCCTGCCAAAGAAGTTTTGGCCATACGCCATGAACCACGCGGTGCGCCTGCACAACCTTCTCTCCACCACTGCCAACAGGGCTAACCTGTCCCCTCACATGAAGTGGACCGGCTCAAGGGGAGACCCCTCCATGCTGAGGGTTTGGGGGTGCATGGTGCAATATCGGCCGACCTCGGCAACAATTGGCAAGTTCGTTCATCGTGCGCGCTGGGGAGTTCATCTGGGGCTCAGTCACGAACACAAAGGTTGGCTCATTCTTGACATCGACAGCAAGGAGATCGTTCCTGCGCGCGACATCCTTTTCTACGAGCGACTCACCCTGAAGCAGTCGATCGAGGACGAGCGCCGAAACCAGGCACGCGGCTACGTCAACAGCGGCCGCAGCTTTGCGTCTCCAGAAGATGAAGCAGCAGCAGCAGCCCTGGACCGCGACGACACCGACGAACATCCCAGCATCCCGCCTCGCCCGCGCGACGACGACGACGACGACAGCGACGATGACCCTGCGCCAGGACCATCACGGCGCCAGACGGAGCCAAGCACCACAGCACCCGGCTACGAAAGCGGAGATGACGACGTGGTGGAAGTCACCACCAACACAGACACCACCACGGTTTCCGGCCTACAACTCCTCGGCCTACACACGTCCGTCTCTACCCTTACACGGGCCGTGGAGCCAAAGAACCCTCGCCAGGCCCTAACCGGCCCTCACGCCAAGGAGTGGCGTGCTGCGATGGATGCGGAGCTCAAGGCGCTGGAATCACGTGACACCTGGGTCCTAGTCGATCGTGCAGCAGTGAAGGGGAGAAGGGTACTCAGCGGAAAGTGGGTTTTTCGCTTGAAAACCAACGCTGACGGCACTATCGAGCGCTTCAAGGCACGCTGGGTCGTACGCGGGTACGATCAGCGCCACGACATCGACTTCGATCAAACCTTTGCTCCCGTCAGTCGCCACACCTCAGTCCGGATTCTACTCGCCATTGCCGCCGCGAAGCACCTGCCACTGCGACAGATCGACGTGAAGAACGCGTTTTTGTATGCGTTGGCGGATGCCACCATCTTTGTGGAGCAGCCGCACACCTACGGAGAGGGTGATCCCAGGGTCTGTCAACTGAAGAAGTCCCTCTACGGGATCAAGCAGGCGCCTCGCCTCTGGCAGCAGCATCTGCACAAAATCCTCCTCGAAATCGGCTTCAAACAGCTCCCGCACGACCCGGGAATGTATCGCCTTCACTTCAGCGGCGATTACATCCTCCTGACAGTCTACGTCGACGACCTGCTGTACACGGGCACCTGCAACAAACTCCTCGATCAGTTTCAGAAGAACCTGGCGCAGCGCGTGGATATTACCATCAACCTCGAAGTGAAGCAGTTTTTGGGGCTAAACATCACCTACGCGCCAGAAGCAATTCACCTGTCAGCCTCAAAGTATGCAGAGCAGCTGGGGGAACGTTTCAACATCTCACCCGCACCACTCTCAACTCCCTACCGCAACCCCAGCGCCAACTACAAACCGGACAACAAACCTCTGTCGCCCGCAGGACTCCAAATGTACCAGCAGAAGTTGGGGTGCCTGCTATTCGCCTCTGTCACCTGCCGACCCGACCTTTCGTACATCGCCAGCCAACTGGCGCAGTACTCTCGCAAGCCAGTAGCTGAGAACCAGCTGGACCTGGAGCGCGCCCTGCAGTACTTCATCTCCACTCCTGACATTGGGCTCTCCTACTCCACGCTGACGACGACCTCCTTCAACCTCAACGGCTACGTGGACGCAGATCACGCAGCTGGCCCTGCAAATCGACGGTCCCGAACCGGCTTCGTTTTTCGCCTGGAACCAACTGGGCCAATCTCCTGGAACTCGCAGAAGCAGGAGCTGGTTGCCCTGTCATCGGCCGAAGCGGAATACATCGCCGCGACAGCAGCAGTTCGCGAAGGCCTGTACCTGTAAGAGCTGCTACAGGAAGCGAAAATTTCAACCTCACATACCTTTCGCCTTCACTGCGACAACCAGAGTGCCATCAGGATCGCGAACAAGCCAGGTTTCGTGAACCGCACGAAGCACATCGCGCTTCGGTACTTTTTCGTCAAGGACGAAATCGACCAAGGCAAAGTTGACCTCGCCTACTGCCCGACTACTGAGATGGCAGCAGACTTCCTCACCAAGCGCCTGCCACGTCAGCAGTACAAGCACTGCTCTGACCTCACCGGAGTAGTCAAGCGAGTCAGCTCCACCCGCGTCCAGGAATGAAGGGGAGTGTTACGATATGAAGTTTTATGAGAAGGCATTCCTGTATGCTGCAGGAGCCGACTCTACCGAGTACGAAGTCGAGGAGTCAGAAGAGTCGAAGCGACACAGCAACCGTCTGACCAAGACCGATGCAGGCAGAAACATTTGAAGTGAAAAAGGCGGGAACAGGTTTGAAACGGGTTCCCGCGCCGCACGGTTTGAATTCGGTTGTAATAAGGGAATGTACCCCTTAGAGTACATGGCTAGTCTATGTCTTTTCGTATTCCCCTGTATTCTTATATAAACTCGATGTATGCATGCTATTATCAACTCAGTCATTTACATTCACTCTGACCTGAGATTCAAACTTCCGCTGCAACACTACTCTGCGATCAATCCTGAGCGATCCTTCGCTAAGTCCCTCTTGGGATTGTAACAGAACCAAAGGGTGATAATTCAATAAATGAAGAATCTGCGTTGTATAATTTCACTGGAGGAGCACAGCTCCTCAAGCTCTTATGATGTCTAACTCTAAAACAGCCCTCAACGGACATACCGTACAACCATACAACGTCAGTGAGTGGGCAAATTACCAGCATCATAGCTAGCCAGAGTTGTGCATAACAATCACACATTGGTAGTATTGAAGAGTTCTCATCTCACCCACACACTACAACATAAATAATTGTACTGCCAATGAAAGTCAGTTGCACTGGCCGTATAATGTATCATCCCTTACTGGAAGATTCGCTATTCCGTTGCCTTCTCTCCTGCGAACACATCACTACGTACGCTTTTACAAAGCGTGTTCTCCTTAGCTTTTAGAAGCAAATGGCGGACCATTTGTCTCCGCCATGGTCGCACGTGTGTCACGTCCTCCAATCACTCGAGCAGCGTCGCAAGAACTGCGTCGTCACCGTCGACGACGACAGCGGTGCGACGCTAACCGGGTCGCAATTGGTCGCAGACGTCGCATGCCTGGCCAGAGGGTTGGAGACTCTCGGCGGCGTCGCGCCGGGGGACCGCGTGTGCATCGCAGCGCTCAATAGGTACCACAGGATAGCATAGCACGGCATAGCATACCTAACGGCGACGTATCTTTCCGTCGCAGGTGGTTCGTGAGAGAATTCGCGAAATATTCACGTGGCTAGCTGGAAGCATTCCTCGCATTGGGATACGCTTTGCTGCTATTTACGGCCAGCTTCCGGTCGAATGAAGAGAGCGGGAGTGGGTAGCATTCCTTGCAATGGGAGCGTTCTCGATCAATGCTGTTGAACTGACGGCGAATAGCATGCGCGAATAGTCACGACTACTAGTATCGAATGTGCTAATATCGGACGCACTACCCTTTCACTGCACGACTGTGCTGACATCTCGACTATCGAATGTGCCAATAACGAGTCATAATCTTCTCTCTCACCATCCCTCGCCGCATCACCCCTACGCAGCTCGGCGTACGTACAGTGGCTACTCGCAGTGCCAGCTGTCGGCGCCATTCTCGCGCCTCTCAACCACCGATGGGTCAGTGTCATGTCTCTCCCTCTCAGTGTCACTCCTTCTCAGTGTCACTCCTTCTCAGTGTCACTCCCTCCCTCCGCTCAGCTCGCACCACTCCCCCCTGCCGCTTGCACCACACAACACTGACACATACTCACGAGTAATTTCCTAGTCAAATCACACCATTCCTCTATGCAACCCTCTTCGATCTCCCCCTTTCCTTCTTTCCGCAACGGCCCCACAGAGCATGGGAGAGGCAGCAGCAGCGGTGCAGCAGGTGGGTGCGGCAGTGCTGGTGGTGGATGCTCACATGCTGCCCTGGTGGGCCCACCTCAAGCCGCTCTGCCCCTCGCTGCGACTGGGGGTCGTCATCTCAGAGGGGCCCATTGCTCCCACTCTCTCCTCTCCCTCCTCTGCTTCGTCCCCCTGTGAGTTTTCCTCAGGGCTTGCCGCTTGCTTGCCTTCTCTCCCTCCTCTCCCTCATCTCCCTCCTCTCCCTCATCTCCTCCTCTCCCTCATCTCCCTCAGCGTGCTTTCAACTCGTCGTTGCCCTCCTCTCCTCCTACCCCTCCCGCCGCCCTGTCCCTCACGTCACATCCCCATGCCCGTGTGCGCTCCCCTCCCCATGCCCGTGTGCGCTCCCCTCCCCATGCCCGTGTGCGCTCCCCTCCCCATCCCCATAACCTCCCCCAGCGCTGCTCTCAATGCAACAAGTCCTTCGAGCCGGCCGAAAGGAAATCACAGAAGCTGAGCAACGCACATCCAACTCCTCCTGGCTCACCGACCAAACCTCCTCCTCACCCTCCTCTCCTTCTCACTCTCTTGCCCCCTCCCCCCTCGCCCCCTCCTTCCTCCACCACATACCTCTCCAATTCGCCCCTCACCGCATTGCACTCCTCTGTTTCACCTCGGGCACCACCGGCACCCCCAAGGCGGCTGCTCTCTCCCACACGGCCCTCATCTCGCAGTCCCTGGCCAAGCTGGCATTTGCGGGGTACCGCCATGACGATGTGAGTGGCATGAGGATGGAGTGGGTTGGCATGACGTTGTGAGTCACTCTCGGGACTTGACAAAAGTAGCTCACATGAAGCCGGCACCCCCAAGGCGGCTGCTCTCTCCCACACGGCGCTCATCTCGCAGTCCCTGACCAAGCTGGCGTGTGCGGGGTATCGCCATGACGATGTGAGTGGCATGAGGATGGAATGGGGTGGCATCATGTTGTGAGTAGCTCACATACAGTATGCACGCCCAAGGCAGCTGCTCTCACCCCCAAGGCAGCTGCTCTCACCCCCAAGGCAGCTGCTCTCACCCCCAAGGCAGCTGCTCTCACCCACACGGCCCTCATCTCGCAGTCTCTCGCCAAGCTGGCATGTGCGGGGTACCCCCATGATGATGTGAGTCACTCTCTGCACATGTGGTGCAATCCCTTCGCCCTTAGGCTTTAGAGTCCCCGTCTCTCTCTCCCACACGGCGCTCGTCTCGCAGTCCCTGGGCAAGCTTGTGCAGGGTACCGCCATGACGATGTGAGTCACTCTTGAGACTTGGATGGGTATGAGTGACATGGGGATGGGATGATGGATGGCACGAGAATGTGTGTGATTAGACATGTGTCAAAACTTCTCCATCCGCCCTCCCCCTTCCTGCTACCCTTCCTCCACGTGGCTCCTCTGTGTCACACAGGAGGCATCTCATCCCTCCTCGCTCCCTGCTCGACCCACCACCTCCCCCATCTCCTTTATCCCCTCCCTTCGTCCCATCCCTCCTCTGTCCCCTCCCCCCTACAAGCCTTCCTGCACGTGGCTCCTCTGTGTCACATAGGAGGCATTTCTTCCCTCCTCGCCATGCTCCCTCTTCTACCTCACCTCCTTCCCCATCTCCTTTCTTCCATGCCTCCTCCTTCCCCTGCCTGCAGACCTTCCTGCACGTGGCCCCTCTCTGCCACATAGGAGGCATTTCTTCCCTCCTCGCCATGCTCACAGCATGTGCTCGAAACGTCCTCGTGCCGCGCTTCCTCCCCGCCCACCTCCCTCATCTCCTCTCCTTCCATCACATCACAGCCCTTATTGCCGTCCCCGCCATGCTCACGGATCTAGTGAACGCATGCAGCAGCAAGCAAAGTGAGTGATCGGGCCTTGTTTTGGCTAGGGCATGCGTGCAACCCACCTCCCTCATCTCCTCTCCCGCCACCGCATCACGTCCCTTATTGCCGTCCCCGCCATGCTCACGGATCTAGTGAATGCGTGCAGCAGCAAGCAAAGTGAGTGTTCGGGCCTTGTCTGGGCAAAGGCATGCATGCATCCCACCTCTCCCTACACACCTCCCCCGCCTGCTCTCCTTCCATCACATCACAGCCCTTATTGCCGTCCCTGCCATGCTCACCGATCTAGTGAACGCATACAGCAGCAAACAACCGGGGGAACAAAGTGAGTAATCATGATTTTTCTGTAAGGGGGGTGGGTGGTGGTGGAAAGAAGGGGGGGGGGGAGGGAAGGTGGGATATGCACGCAGCCCACATCCCCGTATCGTGAGTCATCCAGTGCTCGTCCTCTTCCCCCCAACCCTTTTGAGTCGACTCAAAAGTCAACTCGTATCGTGAGTCATCCTGTGCTCGTCCTCTTCCCCCCAACCCTCCACCCTCCACCCCTCCATCCCCACATCCCTGCACGCTTTTTGAGACGTCTCAAAAGACCCCCCACCCCTCCACCCCTCCACCCCTGCACCCATCCATCCCCACATCCCTGCACGCCTTTTGAGACGTCTCAAAAGACCCTCCACCCGTCCACTCGTCCACCCGTCCACCTCTCCACCCCTGCACCCATCCATCCCCACATCCCTGCACGCTGCCACGCAGGCACGTGCTTCCCGCTCGTGCGAACGCTGCTGGTGGGGGGAGGCGCATTGAGCCAGTCGCTGCAGCGGCACGCAGAGGCACTCTTCCCCTGCGCGCGCCTCATGCTCGCCTATGGTACCTCCTCTTCACCGCCTCCCTGCGCTAATCTTCCTTAGAAGGAGCGCAGCCCTTGTATCTGCTTGCCACTTGTGCACAGCATTCTGCTGGTGTAGGCCGGTTGACATGACCCCTTTCTTGCAGTGGAGGGTGAGGACTCTATCTCTTGCCCATTGCCCGGATTGCCATTCTTCAGCCTTTCCTTCTTCATCCTTCATTCTTCAGCCTTCATTCTTCATCCTTTCCTTCTTCATCCTTCATTCTTCAGCCTTCATTCTTCATCCTTTCCTTCTTCAGCCTTCATTCTTCATCCTTTCCTTCTTCATCCTTCATTCTTCATCCTTTCCTTCTTCAGCCTTCATTCTTCATCCTTTCCTTCTTCATCCTTCATTCTTCATCCTTTCCTTCTTCAGCCTTCATTCTTCATCCTTTCCTTCTTCAGCCTTCATTCTTCATCCTTCATCCATCATCCTTGATCCTTCATCCCACATCCTGCCATGTTGCCAGGTCGCCATTAACCTCCCCCACTTCGTCTTTCACATACCCTGCTTCCCCGCATTCCTTTGTCCCCCCCCCGCATCCCTCCCCCCCCACACACCCTTCTCCACTGCAGGCATGACAGAAGCAGCCTCCTCTATCACATTAGCCACGCTACGGGACCTGCAGAGGCAAAGAAGGCTGGTAGGCAGCAGGCGCATCAGCAGCAATTCAAACTATGCATTCCTTCCCATTTTTTCCCTGTAAACCGCCCTCTCCCAACCCCCCCTAGGCATGACAGAAGCAGCCTCCTCCATCACATTCGCCATGCTACGGGACCCTGCAGGGGCAGAGTCGGCAGGGGAAGCGATGTCAGGTGCAGAAGCATAAATTTAAACCCCACTTTCGCCCCTTCCGCCCTTCTCCCCTGCCAGGCATGACAGAAGCAGCCTCTTCCATCACATTCGCCATGCTACGGGACCCTGCAGGGGCAGAGTCGGCAGGGGCAGAGAGAGCAGGTGCAGAGACAGGAGCACCATCAGCACCAACAGCACCAGCAGCAGCAGCATCAGCGTGCTGTGTGGGCTTCCCTGCTCCACACGTTCAAGTCTACATCACGCCCCTCCCTCCAGATGACCCTCACTCTCCTCTTCCTCCTCCTTATCCTACTCCTCGTCCTCGTCATGGCCCGCACTCAACCCTCCCCCCTCAACACTCGCACTCCCCCCTCAATCTCCCCTCAATTATACCCAGCCAGTCGTCAGCTCACAAGTCTTGTCCTGTAGTGGGGGAGGTGCTAACCCGCGGCCCACACGTGATGAGTGGCTACTGGGGCAGGCCAGACGAAACTGCCGCAGTGCTCTCTCAAGACGGATGGTTGCGCACGGGAGACATGGGCTGGATCGACTTTTCCGGGCAGCTTTGGCTGCTGGGCAGACGAAAAGAAATGATAAAGTCGGGTGGGGAGAATGTGTTCTGCGCGGAGGTGGAGGAGGCAGTGAGAGCACACCCGGGAGTGGCGGCAGCAGCAGCTGCAGGGGTGCCGGATGAGAGGATGGGGGAGGCGGTTGCTGTGCTGCTGCAGCTGAAACCAGGATGGGTGTGGTCGGGGGTCAGCAGTAATGACAGTGATGCTGGCAATTCTGGTAGTGGTGGTGGCAGTGCGGCAAGGGCAGCTGGTGCTGAGAGCGTGTCGTTGAGTGACTTGCATGCTGCCTGCCAGCAGCACGGCCTCTCCAGGTATGTGAGATGAGCTTGACCAGTTTTTCAATCAAGGTTTGGGTTGCTGACATTCATCCCAAGGTACTACTATGCTCACCAAAAAAACGTACCACTATGCTTACAGTTCCACCAGGTACTTTGTCCTCCCTAATAGACTGTATGCCTCTCGTTTCCTTTGCAGGTACAAGCTCCCTCGAGTGGTGGTGGCTTTGCCGGAAGGACAGTCATTTCCTGTGACGGCTTTGGGAAAGGTGAAGCGAGCAGAAGTTAGAGACATAATTGTGAATGCCATGGACAGTAGTGTACCAAGGATAAAAGCTAGATTGTAAACATGGAATCCCAGAAGGAATCATATTTATCATGCCTTTGCTTTGTGACTTCCCATTCCATCCCAACGGCACCTTATTCCACTGAAGCAAGATGAAAGTGAGCAAACTATTTATATACACCTGTGACTTCTTGTAGGTGGCATAGCTTTTGCTGTTTAGTGGTACTTGATTTTTCCTCGGTACAAGTTTCCTCTGAGATACGTGGAGTTGTTGTGGCCCGTATTTTTTCATATCCTTAGCCATTGACTTTTTTGCTGTAGGTGGGTCGTGACACGTCAGTACCTCACTCACCGACTCACACCCGAACGCGTGGTGGCATCTCGGCCACACTCAAATCTGAGTCGCACAAACCGTCGCCATGACGGCCAGCTACCAAAAAACACACCAAACAGGTGAGGTGTGAGCTGTCGGTAGTCGTCATGCGACGTCGCAGTAGGATGGCGGCGTGGACTGCGAATCCAAAATAGAAGTTGGCGGTTTTGAGATTGGTTGGTTGAGGTTGGGAGAGAGGAGGAACAAACAACTCCCAAGAGCATTCCCAAGTTGGGCCACCTACGCTCTTGTGAATTTCCCTGTTCAAAAAAACATTTTTATCAATTCTGCCATTCTTCTAACCACATAGCAGACCGCCACGCTGCTCGCATCACTCGTTCCGCTCCGGCGACCTGTCGCCGACAGCCATCTTTTGCGCCTTCGCACCCCTGCGATCATTCTTCTCTATTCTTGCCCTCGCACCCGCGTCATCCCGTCTTCTCTATTCTATTTATAAAGCTTTACTCTAGCTGGTCTACAGTCTCTTCTGGGATTCTCTTTCCGTCATCCCGCTCGTTTCGTCCGTTTCGCACATTTCGCTCCTTTCGCTCGCACCAGAATGGCGTCGTCGTTTGCACTAGCGCGCGCTGATGCTTCGTCGCTAGCTGCTTTGCGATTCTGTTCGCAACCCCTTCGCGTTGCTTCAGGTAAGCTCAGAATCTCCTCACCATTTCCCCGCATCCGCACCTTCCCCCCTTCCTACTCTCCCTCCTCCCACCTCCCTCCTCCTTCCCATCCCCCAACTCTCCAGTTTCTTGTTCCCCCGTCCGTTTCAGACATGTCTCACTGAGAAATGTCTGAAACTCCCTCCCTCCTCGTTTTGTGAGCAACTTCTCGCGAATTCACTCTAGTGCGGGTGTGCCTGTATCGAATGTGGCGTGCAGGTGAATGTAGACTCGGAATAAGCCCGACGCAGCACAACCAGAGACAGCAGCAACAGCAGCGGAGGTTGGTGGGTGTGTTCAGAGTGCGGTCGAGTGCGGTTGAGAACGCGGCAGCTGAGACCAATGTGACGGACGAAGGGAAGCAGGTGAGAATCGGGGGCAGGATAGGGGTGGGGCAGGTGAGAGGTGGGGCGGGCGAGAGATGGGGCCGGTTAGGTAGGGGTGGGGCAAGTGGGTGGGAGGTGGGATGAGTGAGAGGAGAGGCAGGTGAGAGGGCTGGTGAGAAAGGCAACACAGGCTCATTGCATCGCGTCCGCTCTGTCGTCATCCTGGGTTCACCCAAAAGGCCAGAAAAGAGACAGGAATTTGTAGTGAGATAATAAAAAAAAACCGTGATTGCATCTCAGCCGTTTATGAAGAGTTCACCATTCACGTGCACTGCCACGTCACTTCCCCTCAACCTCTCGTCACACCAACCCCCGTTTTCCGCCTCTCCCCACCTTTCCCCCGCCCTCTCCCCCCAGCTGCAGCAGCGCAAGGCGGAGTGGGCGCGGGTGCGGGCGGTGGCGGAGAGGGGCACGGTGATGCGCGGGCGAGTGGTGTCCGCCAACGCGGGGGGGCTCATGGTGCGCCTGGGCCCGCTGCAGGCCTTCCTGCCACTCTCTCAACTCGACCCCGCTCGCCTCCGAGGCACGGGTGAGTGACGACAGCAAGGGTTCCTCTTACAAGCAAGAACACTCTAAACGCACGCATTGACACGTATTGGCACCATGGCTGCAACCTGGGGCACGGTGATGCGCGGGCGAGTGGTGTCCGCCAACGCGGGGGGGCTCATGGTGCGCCTGGGTCCTCTTCAAGCCTTCCTTCCGCTCTCCCAGCTCGACCCCTCGCGCCTCAGAGGCTCGGGTGAGTGAGTGTGAAGCAGGGACAAACTTGTTCCAGGGACGGGTGAGCGCCATGCAGCGGATGTGATAGGAGCCCTGGTGGGCAGCATGGTGGGGGTGAGAGTCCTTGAGCTGGACTAGGCGAGAAAATCAGTGAAGGACCCTCAACGCCCTCCTTCCCTCTTCCCCCCTCCCCACCTCCCTTCTCCCAAGCAGCAGCGTCACCGGCCCCCAATGTAGCGGACGTAACTCGAGGGCTGGTCGGCAGCATGGTGGGGGTAAGAATCCTCGAATTAGACGAGGCGAGAACGCGCCTGGTGGTGTCGGAGAAGCGGGCAGCAGCAGCAAAAGGGCTGCCGCGCGTGCAGCAGGGGTGCGTGTACCCGGGCATCGTCTCCTCCCTCACTGACTTCGGTGCCTTCGTGGACCTCTTTCAGCCGGAGGGGGGAGACAAAGAGGGGGCCAATGAGGGAGAAAAAGGGGAGGGAGGCAAGGAGGGGGAGAAGGAGGGCGCGTTTCTGGCGACTGGGCTGGTGCATGTGTCTGAGCTCTCCTGGGACCCCGTTCGCTCGCCCGCTGATGTCATTGCCGTGGGCGATGCAGTCAGTGCGTTGGTTCTGCAAGTTGACAGGTGAGCTTTCTTGGAGACAATGAGGGTGGGTTTTTAGCGACAGGGCTGGTGCATGTGTCTGAGCTCTCCTGGGATCCCGTCCGCTCGCCTGCTGATGTGGTTGCCGTGGGGGATGCAGTCAACGCCATGGTGCTGCAGGTGGACAGGTGAGCTTAGAGCCAACGCACACTGCACATGGGGCTTGGTGCATGTGTTGGAGCTCTCTTGGGATCCCGTTCGCTCGCCTGCTGATGTTGTTTCCGTGGGGGATGCAGTCAACGCCATGGTGCTGCAGGTGGATAGGTGAGTTGACAGCTGAATGTGCATGTGTCCGAGTACTCCTGGAGGGCTGGCGGGGCAGGCAGGCAGGTGGGCGAGCGGGCAGGTGGGAGGGCGGGCGGGCTAAAGGGTTTTTTTTCCTTTGCACCCTTGGTGCGTGCTTCTGGGCTGTGCATCCCTGCATCCATCCATGCGCCCATGCATCCCTGTGCAACCATGCTCACAGGGAGAGGGAGCGAGTGGGGCTGTCGCTGAAGCAGGTGCAGGCAGACCCGCTCCTTGAGACTCTCGACCGCCTGCTGCCCTTCCAACCCGCCCCAGATGCCACCTCCCCTTCTGCCGCTGCCCTTGAGGTCCGTCTTCTTCTTCTGCCTGCACGCTCACTTGCTGCTCCTCTTTCTGGTCTTCTCATCCTCGTTCGAAGTCTTCTGATTCACATTATGAAGTCATTTTCGTCCTCGTTTCATTTCTCCCTGCAGCTTGATATCTTCTGCTCAATTGCTCTTTCCTCCCCACGCTTGCTGCATCATTGCGAGCGTATACACACATGCACATACACGCGCACATGGATAAGCACACACATGCACACAGACATACACACATGCACACAGACATACACACATGCACACAGACATACACACATGCACACAGACATACACACATGCACTCAGACATACACACATGCACTCAGACATACACACATGCACACATGCACACATGCACACAGACATGCACACATACACACATGCACACATGCACACATGCACACATGCACACAGACATACACACATGCACACATGCACATGCACAGCTGACCTGAAGCACACCTTCGTTTTGTCCTCCATGTTCCCCCCCCTACCCTCCTCTCTTTCCACCTTTCTCAGGCGACCTCTGCTGCCCCCTCCTCCCCCCTCCCGGGTGCCTCCTCGCCCCCGCCCCTACCGGGCCTGCTAGCGCTCTGCAACCAGCTCAGGCAGCAACCAGGGTAGGCAGCAATCTCTCAGTATTCCCCCCTCCTTGGTACCGCTTCTCGTCCTTCCCTCCTCCCCTTCTTCTCGTCCTTCCCTCCTCCCCTTCTTCCCTCCTCTCTTCCTCCCCTTCTCGGTCTGCTAGCCCTCTGCAACCACCGCAGGCAGCAACCAGGGTAGGTCGATCCGACTGCCACTTCCCTATATTCTCCCCACATTGGCACCCCTCCGCTCAGTGAAGCGAGATGGCTGTTGAGTCCACTCAAACGTTCCCATTCTTCTCTCTCCTCCTCTCCCCCCCCTCTATATGCAGGATCGTGTCTGTGACGTTGGGAAGGCAGGCAGTGGAGCGAGCGAGATGACTGTTGAATCGATTCAAACGTTCCCACCCTCCTCCACTCTCCTCCCTCCCCCCCCCTTGCACTCTCCTCCCCTCCTCCCGCTCTATATGCAGGATCGTGTCTGTGACGTTGGGAAGGCAGGCAGTGGAGCGAAGGGTGGTGTCTCAGGACCTCGAGCTCTGGCTTTCCAACGTGAGTGTTGGGGGACGGGGAATGAATGAAAAGATGAAGGGGGGGATGGAGAAAGGCCGCGTTGGTGTGGAGCGAAGGGTGGTGTCTCAGGACCTCGAGCTCTGGCTGTCCAATGTGAGTGCTGCTGAGGGAGGGTGGGAGAGAAGGAACGGGAAGATGGAGAGATGTGGCGCTGGGGCGGAGCGAAGGGTGGTGTCTCAAGACCTGGAGCTCTGGCTCTCCAATGTGAGTCTGTCTCTCCAGTGCCAGTCGCAATAAAATGAGAGGGGTATCGACGGGAAGATGAAGGGAGGGAGGGAGAGGGCAGAGTGGAGGGTGGTGTCTCAGGACCTTGAGCTCTGGCTCTCCAATGTGAGTAGTCAAGGGAGCGAGGGAGGGAGGGAGGGAGGGAGGGAGGGAGGGAATGAATGGGAAAATGAACAGATGCTGGGTAGAACCAAGGGGATTGTGAAGGAAGGCTGTGGAACAAAGGGTGGTGTTTCCAATGGGGAGCGACAGGTGGTGTTTCAGAACTTGGAACTCGTATGTGCGTTGTGGTTGAGGGATACAGGGAGAGACTGGGCTGTCTCAGCTGTGTCAGCATGTTCATTGTGTAAGCAAAGCTCACTCCTCTCCCTTCACCTCCCTCCTGGGCCGACCTCACTCCCGTGCCCACCTCCCTCCCTTCACCTCCCTCCCGTGCGTGTGCTCCCCTCACAGGCGCCAGCAGCAGAGGGGTAGTATGCTCTGCTGGCAAGAGCAGGCCGACTGGTGAGCTGTATTGAGTTGTCCCTCCCTGGCGTATCTAACCCACCTCCCTGCCTTCACCTCCCTCCCTTCCTGCCCACCTCCCTCCCGTGCAACTTGCTCCCCTCACAGGCGCCAGCAGGAGAGGGGCAGTATGCTCTGCTGGCAAGAGCAGGCCGACTGGTGAGTTTCCCTTCTGCAGTTTTTCCGCCCTGCGTTGCAATAAAGCACCGCGCAAGGTGTGCTATGCTATAAGTGTGGAATACGGATGCCTTTTTCGGGGTGCCCAGGTGTGCTCTTGCACTCAGCTTGCTTTTCCGCTTTGTTTTTTTTCCTCTACTCACTTGTGCCGACTCACAGGTGCAAGAGGTTCAAGTTGTTGCCACTTTGGATCGGGAGCAGATGAAGGAAGTTCTAAAGCAGATCTCTTAGGTAGCGCAGCGTGCGATGCGATGCATGGGGAAATCAGCTGCCGCCAAGTCGAGTCGTTGGAACTTGCGTACATTACACTCATGTGTATTGAGTGGTACCGTATATCCGATTGCCGAATAATCTCTTCAATCTAGCCTGTGTAAGATTTTACAAATACTGGCATCTTTGACAACACAGCAATGCAGTGTCTTGTCTACTACAAGCCACACACCACCATATCGGGAAAGACTCCTCCCTGTCCTCAACCCAGCAGCAGCAGCAGCATCCATGTTTGGCATGGCAGCACCCATTAGGCTCTTCTTGAAACAGCAAACACAATAATGCAACTACCGTGAGTACAGTGTGCAGTTATCACTAGATTTTCCCAGGTACCTACGGTATTACCGTACATCTTTCTTGCACCTAGTACCTACCGTATTTAGACCATCACCCTCCTACGGTAATATTTTCTAGACAGCACTGACGCGGGAGCAGCAATGCCCGTGCTCATGTACAGGTTAGCTCGCATGCACGATGCACGATTCAGGGATAGCGTACGAGTGACCCAGTGGCCGCGTGACTCGCGTCCCTACAATGGTCACACCAGGCATCTGCCGCTCTCCTCACCATCACTCCATCCTCCCAGCATGACCAGACGACGGGAGACGACAGATGGGTTATTGAAGTCGACTAAAGCACCATAGAAACGCCAGTCATGGTCTTCGAATGCCAGATGTGAGTCGCCTCGCCAAGCCACACTCCACCCCACCCCTTATCTATCGCTAAACACCATGGACACGGGCGCAGCAATATCCGCGCTCGTATACGGATTCACCCCGGTAGACGTCCCGGGAATATACTCGGGCACATTATCATAATCCTCCTCCTCGTCCTCCGCAATATCCATCTGCTCGTACCCGCTCCCACCGCACTCCACCCCTTATCTATCACTAAACACCATGGACACGGGTGCAGCAATATCCGCGCTCGTGTACGGATTCACCCCGGTAGACGTGCCAGGAATATACTCGGGCACATGGTCATAATCCTCCTCCTCGTCCTCCGCAATATCCATCAGGTTATCCTCCCGGTCCTCCAAATCGTCGTCCGGGAACAGATTCATCACCGGCTCGAGAATCCCGGACGAGGGCTTTAAGAAGTACTTGATTTCTGCCAGGCGGGTGGCGACCTCGGCCATCTCGGGGCGGTCGCGGCCGAGGCGGCGCACGCACATGGCGGTGACGGCTGCCAGCATGTTGAGGGCCTGGCGCGGGTAGGCGCCTGTGAGGCGCGGATCCAATATGCTCTCCACCTTTCCTGCTGCTATCTTGGGCGTCGCCTGGGTGTTTGGGGGGGAGAATTGGGTGGGGAGTGGTGGGAGGGAGAAAGGATGGAGGGGAAGGGAGTGAGGCACGGGTCCAATATGCTCTCCACCTTGCCCGCCGCTATCTTGGGTGTGGCCTGGGGTGTAAGCAGGAGGGTGTTGGGGAGGGAGGGAGGGAGGAAGGATGGAGGGCGGGAGGGAGATAGTGAGTTGAGAAGAGAACTGGCTACTGAAGGCGCCTGTGAGGCACGGGTCCAGTGTGCTCTCCACCTTGCCTGCTGCTATCTTGGGTGTGGCCTGGCGCGTGGTGGGGGGGTTGAGTGGAATGCACTCAGCAGCTCCTTCCCATAGAAAAAGGGTAACTCACCAATCTGGAAAGCATAACGACGCAAAACACCCATTGGGATAGGGTAACCAAGAAACTCACCCAGCGTGACAGTGTGACCATGTACGACTCGTTCTCCACTGAGGGGTCCTCCATGATGGGCGGGCGGCTTGGGAGTGGTGCAGCGTTCAGGCTTATGGTTCAGTGTTGATGAGTCAAGGTAATCACAAGACTCACCCAGCGTGAGAGCGTGACCATGTACGACTCGTTCTCCACGGATGGGTCCTCCATGATGGGCGGACGGCCTGTGATGAGCTCCAGTAGCACCACGCCGAAACTGGTGGGGGGGATGTGGGGGAGGAGGGCAATGTGCAAAGAGAAAAATGACTTTTGAGTCGAATCAAACGTTGTCTCCACACAAGAGTCCTCCATGATGGGCGGACGCCCTGTGATGAGCTCCAGTAACACCACTCCGAAACTGGTTGGTGAGGGGGCGGCAGGGAGAGGAGGGAAGAGGGTGGCAGGCAGGAGGGGAGTGATGAGAGCGGAGATGGGCGGACGGCCTGTGATGAGCTCCAGCAGCACCACCCCGAAACTGGTGGGGGGGGCGACAGGAGAGGAGGGGTTGATCGGCAAAGGAGGAGAACACTCAGACACATAGTTATTAGTGGCATGGCATGGCATGGTGCCGTGCCGTACGTACGTATGCGTGTTACATAGCCTTCATTTCTCACCTGTAAACGTCGCTCTTGGTGGTGACCTTGTACGTCTGGTAGTACTCAGGGTCCACATAGCCCGGAGTGACATGGCATGGGGTGCCCACCATTCGAGCAGCATGAAGTGACATGGCACGGTGCATCCTGCTTCATTTCTCACCTGTACACATCGCTCTTGGTGGTGACCTTGTACGTCTGGTAGTACTCAGGGTCCACATAGCCCGGAGTGCCCACCACGCGAGTGTTCATCTCGTCACCCGGCTTGTTGGTGCCGCTCTTCTTGAACACTCCAAAGTCCGCCACCTTGGCCTGAAAGGGCAGCAGGGGAGGGGAGAGGAGCGAGGGAGGAAAAGGAGAGCAACAAGGGTCAGCAAGGCTTCGTGGTTACTGCTGCTCTTCTTGAACACTCCAAAGTCCGCCACCTTGGCCTGAAAGGGCAGCAGGGGAGGGGAGAGGAGCGAGGGAGGAAAAGGAGAGCAACAAGGGTCAGCAAGGCTTCGTGGTTACTGCTGCTCTTCTTGAACACTCCAAAGTCCGCCACCTTGGCCTGTGAGAGAGCGACCATGGTTGGGGCCAAGCATGACAAACAAGGGAGGGGGAAGGGGAGATAGAAAAGAGCGAGTGTTCATCTCGTCTCCCGGCTTGTTGCTGCCACTCTTCTTGAACACTCCAAAGTCCGCCACCTTGGCCTGCACGCCCAGGGAAAGGAGGGAATGGAGTGAGTGGAAAACGGCAACCATGGCCAGTGAGGCTCGGTGCTGCTGAGCTTCTGAAGGATGCCGAAGTCACCCACCTTGGCCTGCACTGAAGCAGTGAAGCAAGCAGTGGATATTATGCACCCGACAACACCCAAGAGTTCCAGCAACCAAACTTCACCATCATGCCATGAACGCGCCATCGTGCCATCAACTCGCACCATCATGTGATTATCCAGCAGGATGTTATCGCACTTGATGTCCCGGTGGATGATGGCCGGCTATAGGGTCACAGAGAGCAGCGCTAGGAGCTTAAACCCAAAACCTGCACCACCAATCCTTGCCACCATGCCATCAACTCTCACCATCATGTCGTTATCCAGCAGAATGTTGTCACATTTGATGTCCCGGTGGATGATAGCCGGCTCTGGGGCGACAGAAAGCAATTCCAGCCCACGAGTTCCAACGCAAGACAACCCCTCCTCTTCCTCACCATCATGTCATTGTCCAGCAGTATGTTGTCGCATTTGATGTCCCGGTGGATGATAGCCGGCTCTGCAGCGCTGTGTAGGTACTTGAGCCCCTCTGCTGCCCCCACTGCTATCTCCAACCGCTGCTCAAAGGTCAGCGGCCGCTTGGTCGGGTCTGGAGGGACGCGGGATGAAAAAAAGGGGACATAGGGGGAAGGTGGGACACAGGGGGCAAGTGCAGAGGGGAATGCAGGGAGGACTGAACGTGGGAATGCAGGGAGGAAACGTGGCTCTGCAGCGCTGTGTAGGTACTTGAGCCCCTCTGCTGCCCCCACTGCTATCTCCAGCCGCTGCTCAAAGGTCAACGGCCGCTTGGTCGGGTATGGAAAGTGGGGTGGAGGTGGGAGGTGAGGGGGAGAGAGGGGGCAACAGTTGTGATCTTAGAGACGTGTCAGAGAGGGCAGTGCAGGTACTTGAGCCCCTCTGCCGCCCCCACTGCTATCTCCAACCGCTGCTCAAACGTCAACGGCCGCTTGGTCGGGTCTGGAGGGAGGAGGGGCAGAAGGGGGACACGTCGGGGGGCAATGTAGGGTGCAACACAGGAAGCAACGCAGGGGGCCACACAAGAGGCAATGCGGAGGTGACGAGTTTTGAGACGTCTCAAAACAATGTCGGGTGCAACACAGGAAGCAACGCAGGGGGCTACACAAGAGGCAATGCGGAGGTGACGAGTTTTGAGACGTCTCAAAACAATGTCGGGTGCAACACAGGAAGCAACGCAGGGGGCTACACAAGAGGCAATGCAGAGGTGACGAGTTTTGAGACGTCTCAAAACAATGTCGGGTGCAACAAAGGAAGCAACGCAGGGGGCTACACAAGAGGCAACGCAGGGCGACGTAGGGAGCAACAGGGGTTGGCTCGGTGGCCCAACACTTCTCTTTGAATGTGACGCACAAGGACTGGCCATCACCGATTTTATCTGGTCCTCACCACCACTGCGCCCGTAACACTCACTGCTGGGGCGGATGTGCTGCCAGAGGGTGCTGTTGGCCACAAACTCATACATGAGAATCTGCTCTCCCTTCTCATCGCAGCACACGGACTAACTGCAACCACACCATCATCTGCAGTCATGGCCCAGACCCTCAACTGCACTCACTGCTGCGCCCCCAATACTCACTGCTGGGGCGGATGTGCTGCCTGAGGGTGCCGTTGGCCACAAACTCGTAGACAAGGATCTGCTCTCCCTTCTCATCGCGGCACTCAAGGAGGACTAACAACACCCAGACCCTCAACTGCACTCACTGCACAGACCCTCAACTGCACGCAGCAGACCCTCAACTGCACTCACTGCACCGCCCCTAATACTCACTGCTGGGGCGGATGTGCTGCCTGAGGGTGCCGTTGGCCACAAACTCATACACGAGGATCTGCTCTCCCTTCTCATCGCAGTAGCCCAGCAGCACACGGACTAACCACAGGCAGACCCCC